CCCCAAAACCCCAAAACCCCAAAACCCCAAAACCCCTTTAATAAAGTCATGAATTGAACAATTATTAAAGCTAATAAATTCTGATCATAATGAAATTAAGAAGTAGGAGCAAAACTAGCAAAGTCAAAGGTGTTAAAAGTACCAGAGCAAGTGGCAAAGCCTCTGTAGTCAAGACTAGCAGAAATAAGATTCCAATTGTGAAGAATTTGAGGAAAAAGAAAGTTTCTTTAGGCCAAAAGCAACCTAAGAGAATATCTCACAAGCAGAATCTGCCTCAAACTTCTAAAATAAGGCACAAAAGTAAGAAGAAATCGGAACTGAAGAAAACTGAAGAAGAGAAAGATTCCTGTAGACCTTGTAAGCACGATACAGATGCTGCAAAGTTAACCAAGTGGTCAGACGTCACTATACTCGAGCTATTAGAAATCTTAAAAGAGGAAAGGAAGCATCACAAAAATGTTGACGAGGAGGAGATCTGTCCTATATGCAGATGTGAACTCTATGATGATATTTTCAAGCTCAGTCTTAAGAAGATAAAAGAAATTAACAAGAAGCAACTTGGAGACCCCAGCTCCATAGATGTAGTCAAGTTCAAGGACTGTCTAAATCACTTCTATCATAAAGGATGCACTGACTTCATGGTTCAATATGCTGAACAAGATGGTAACTCGTCCAAGAAGAAGACCAAGAAAAAGGTCAAAAAGAAAGCTCAGTATCTAAAATGAGCAGTTTGCTCTCTGATTTACGGAGAATTTATCGGAAATTGTCCTCCTGGAACTATGTCATGGGAGTTATATAAGAAAGGACAATATCCATGTGAAGGATATGAGAAAACAGGCACATATATCATCAATTACACTTTCAAAGATGGGTTCAGAAATGGTGTCTCCTACGGAGGTACTTACAGACAGGCTTATATTCCAGACACGAAAGAAGGAAGAGAAGTTCTGTACCTTCTCATTAAAAGTTTTAAAAGAAAAGTGTCATTCACAATTGGCGATTCTGTAACCACCGGGTGTAAGAATGTAGTTGTATGGAATTCAATCCACCACAAGACATGCACTCATGGAGGAATTATGACCTATGGGTATCCAGATGCCACCTATTTCAACAGAGTAAAGCTCGAAATGGCTGACAAGGGCATTCTTCTCGAACAAGGAGAAGACCCGGATAATGTGAGCAAGAAAGGGTCTATAACCATCCGTTAGTCTTAAAATATTTGGCCAAAATTTTCAATCACTTAAATAAAGTAAGGGGTTTTGGGGTTTTGGGGTTTTGGGGGTTTGGGG